AGCCAACAGAAAAGAGTGACCTATTTATAATGGCCCAAAAGGCCAAAAGCAACGACTATAGTCCCTCAAGGCGATTCCGAGGGAATGTTTCGATATAGCAATTGAACCAAAGGTGTCAAAATGCCAGATGGCTAAATTATTCCCATATATAAGAACACAGGATCTTATTGTAGCATTTCGTAATCTTGAAAACTTCTATAATCAACTGATAACTGCTACAGTACTACCGTTGAAGCTAGTGAAGACTTCACCGGGTGTATTGTAGTGGTTAGCGTTGATTGTCTGTCCTAATTTTTTTCTAAATTATGTAATTTTTATTGAGATAATCAAACTAAAAGACAATTTTCAAATGTTAATTTCAATATTTGAGCCTATAGCAGATCCTTAGTGATTAAGAATGAATGAAAGCAACGAGTCTGAATTCGTGATGTAAGCGCTAAAATAGAATGTAGAGCAATCAAATGTCCAATGACCTTCATGGCGCACGGAAGTTGATAAGTAGGGTTACGCTGTGCTGCAGCGAGTTCATCAACTTTCTCAGTAATATGGAATATTGAAATAATGTACTGTACTAGATGTTGTTATTCAAGGAAACACTCTCACAATTTCAGTAAAACTTGAAAAATTCTTGTGCAAATAATGTACTCAATTAATGACCTTTTCTGGCCGTTACCATATTACCCTTAAGACATCAAAAGATTTCACCAGTTGTAGTGTTCGTTGGTTAGAAGCTATACAAAGAGGGTTTTATGAGATTAAAAATATTTGTACAAAAAGATAAAAATATATAATATCAGAATCTTCTTCCTCTCCTCCTGTGGTTTTTCTTTTTTATTTATCTCAAACATCTGTTAAATCCTTTAATCTATAGTTGAAGTATTCTGACATCACTGGGTAATGTAAATTAGGGCCTGATGGCTCATTTTCAGCTGCATTTAATCAAAGAAGGAAAAGATGAATCGCGCCTCGTGTGCTCACGGCTTCACTGAAACAAAGAGCAAAGATCATTCGCGTTTTCAGCTTAGTTTCAAGTTTTAAGGAACGTAATGATTTTAGGAGAAGATTGCTCAAGCGAATATAAAAGAATGGAAATATTTCAACCGCTCAAGAAGAAAGA